TGGCCTAAAGTTTGTTAAAAACAACTGATTTAATTATAAGCAAATCTTGGTTAAAAGCATTTTAAAATTAACAGGGTGTAAATTTTCACATATCAATACTGCCTGGAAATTTTGCCAGTGAAATCTGAAGTTCACTAAATTGAGGGTTCTCTGTACTAATATCAAACTAAATTAATTCAATCCATTAACATAAAGATAGGCTATTTTTGAGATACAGGTATTTTAGAAATTAAAGGTTGAGATTACAAGTAATTAAAAGAAGATCAACATTGCAGTAAATCTTGAAGTGTGGTCACTCTTAGTAGACTGTGGCATTCTACTCTTGAAGGAGAAATTATAAAGCATACATGTCCCTAATTAATCAATTATTATTTAAAAAGTAAAATTATTCTTGAGATGCACACTTATTTGATTTCAGGCCCTTAATAGGGCTGTTTTAAAGATACTGGTACCCATCAGGGAATAATAATATATGGAACTTAGAATTTAAAAATGATCAAGTTTATCTGCACATGTTGATGAATCCATTTAACAAGTGTTCACTGAATACCTATATCTAGGTACTATGAAAAATACCATATAAGTAAAACACACATTCTCATCTCAGAGAGTTTAAAATCTAAAGACATAGATAAAACAAAAACATAATTAGCTACAAAAAACCCGCCATCAGAAACTTAGAAATAATATGTACCACATGCACTCATTTACCCATCCTTCCAACATTTATAAAGCAATAATCAGTACTAATATTTGGTATAAAAAGATTAAGGTCAACTAATGAAATTACATTAGAAATAACTGAACAAATTTCTATAGAGGTGGGAATTAAATTACATTAGAAATAATTGAACAAATTTCTATAAAGGTGAGCTATTTAAATAAAAGCTAAGATTTTTTAAAATTTAAATTATTGTTTAAAACATTACATGTCTCCTTTCCCCCCGCCCGCCATCCCCCCACTATTGTCTGTGTCCATTGGTTATGCTCATATGCATGCATACAAGTCCTTTGGTTGATCTCTTAGTCCCCCTCCCCCCGCCTTCCCTCTTAGATTGGACAGTCTGTTCTATGCCTCTAGATATATTTTTGTTCATCCATTTATGATGTTCATTATATTCCACAAATGAATGAGATCATGTGATATTTATATTTCTCTGACTGGTTATTTCGCTTAGCATAATGCTCTCCGTATTCATCCATGCTGTTGCAAATGGTAAGAGTCCCTTCTTTTTTCTAGCAGTGTAGTATTCCATTGTGTAGATGTACCACAGTTTTCTAATCCATTCTTCTGCTGACGGGCACTTAGGCTGTTTATAAATCTTGGCTATTGTAAATTGTGCTGCTATGAACATAGGGGTACATATATCCTATTTTTTTTGGAAGGCAGCTATGCTCACTACTATACCACCAACGCCAACTCCTTTCTTTTTTGTGTTTCTAGTTTCTTGGGATATAGTCA